AAGGAAATTCGATGGTTGAAGGCATGGGTAAAACAGTCATCACAGTTGAAATAAATTTCTCATTTTCGTGGCAACAACAGTCGAATCCAACTAAACCAACCGGTAAATAATTAGGCTTAACAGCCCAAAAAAGCTCGACCTATTGACTTGACGCCCTCGTGAAGCAAATGCACATGGATATTGTGCGAGGGGCAGGCCCAGAGCTTCAAGGGCCTGATGGTCCAACCAAATCAATATATCCAATTGTAAGTCAGTAAGATTCATGGGCAGCAAGATATACACTACAGCCAATTTTTCTCTGCCTGAAAATTGTATTGGAGTGGAGCATCCTCAACCAAAATGCACATTAAAAAAAAAAAAAACCTACGAAAACTCAATCACAAATGGTGAAAAGATTAAATGCTCTATTTAAACTTTAGCTTTTTTTCCTAATGGTAATTTAAATTGGTTTCGGTATTCGGACCACTGGATACCTTTCTTCCCCGGTGCATATGTTGCCTCTAAGGTATTGAAATGACTTCAAGGCAACGCAACATCAGTTAGCTTCTTGCAGTTTGCAGAATTTGATGGTCTGACCATTATGTGTGGATAGCGTTCATGACAAAGATTGTAATGATACATGGCATTAGGACTGCAGCCTTGTTACCTGATTCCAACCAAGCCAATCTTTTTTCGAAATAGAGCTCCATCCAATGACAGTTAAGTAAAGATATCACAAAACACAATAGGAAATATAAGGAGTAGAGAACACAAAATTTACGTGGAAAACCCTCCACTATGGAGTGAAAAACCACGGGACCAAACCGAAACAGAATTCACTATTATAATGAATAATACAACAATTGTGTCACAATTTTTTCCCTAGACATAAGAACTAAAGCAATTTGGAAAAATAGTACAGCTCTCCAAGCACACAACTCTCACTCAAAACACACTCAAAAGATTGATTCTCTGCAATCAAAGTACCTTAAGAAAACACTCCAACGAGAAACCCCCAGAAATTGCCTCTTGCAGTCTTGTTGTAGTAAATCCTCATTAAGACTTCTGCACAACCAATTGAAATAATTTGTCAAAATGCATTCACATCATTGTTAACTTTATCTAGTAACAATTCAACTAAAATACCAATATCATCCTTTTGAGAGGAACAAATGGTACGTAGAAATAAATTACTGATGAGAAACGAATGAGAAATCAGGTACCAGAAATGAATTATTACTTTATGTAACTTTGTTTCGGTTTTTACCTGCAACAGTTTTCCTTGCAAGTAACACATGAGAAACACAGATATGTTCCCAGTCATTCAAAATTGAGCGCTTCCAAGAACATCCTGTATATTTCAAAATTTTTCAAGAAGTTTACTGTAAGACCAAGACCTCACTCAGTTCTCAAATTATAACTAAGACAACTTAATAAAATATCTTTGCTGTGCATACCAGAATAATGTTTCACTCTGTGAAGCTACTTTTCTTCCATTCCTCTGCTATTGCTTGCTTCTTGAATGAGGATGTATTAGGTGTTTTAAGGCCAATGGTCCAAACATGTTTGCTGATGACAGATGACAGATTATAGCTGAATCATCTTTTACAACTTCAAAGGAATTCCATGCCTGCAACCAAAAATGAATTCCATTTCCGTGGCCACGAGCTGCTTCGCTCGCCCTCAATCTCAAGTTCAAGCTCGCTCCAAAACCCAGAGGCATTCCTCAAAGAGAAACCCCAATTCGAAGTTCAAGCCTAAAAATAAAAGGAGTACCAAGTACAAGCCCCTCTCTGTGTCTGCTCCTTCTTCCAGCGTAGAAGCCACCACCTACACTCCCCTCCCTCCTAAACAAGACTTCTCTCCTCCATCCTCTGAATCGTCCAGAGAAATCAAGCTTTTTGATTCTGATATCGCCCAATTCGACTTCAATGATTTGTCTGAGACGGAAACAGATAGCGGTGAAGAGGAGGAAGCTGAGGAAGGACTCCAATATGAGCAATTTGAGGTTTTCGATGGAAATTCGGAGTATGAAGACGGAGGGGGAGGAGGATTTTTATTATGACTCGGAAGGGAAAATTGTAAATTTTCCTAATGGGTAATGGCGATTTCAAATTGGGGACTTTGTCGGATGATGAGGCGATTTGGAAGTGAAGGAGAAGGGGATACTGGCCGTAATGCGATGCTTTGACCGGGCTAAGATTTATGTTAAAGCGGCTGATGGAGGGAATGGGTTTGTTGCCCTTCGCCGCGAAAAGTATGTTCCTCTGGGGGCACTGTCAGGTGGGGATGGAGGGAGGGGCGGGAATGTGTATGTGGAGGTGGACGAGGCAACGAGTTCTCTGTTGCCTTTCAGAAATGGAGTGCATTTTAGGGCTGGGAGAGGAGGGCACGGCCAAGGGAGGATGCAGAACGGGGCCAAGGGAGAGGATGTGGTTGTGAAAGTGGCCCCGGGACGGTTATCAGGGAGGCTGGGAGGGAGGAGGTCTTGTTGGAACTGTCGCATCTGGGACAGGACAGCATTGCTGCTTCCTGGTGGGAGAGGTGGCCGAGGCAATGCCTCTTTTAAGTCTGGCGCCAATAAAGTGCCAAGGTTGGCTGAGAATGGTGAACCAGGTCCAGAAATGTAATTCCTGTTCTTTATCTCAAGAAAAAGTTTTGTTGATCAGTGCCCTTCGTTTTTGTTGCCTGTGTTTTTTGCCATGTCTAACTTTTAGCATTAAGACTGATGGTTTTATGTGGTTTTCAAATGATAGCTACAACTTAAGCCAATGCTTTTTCTCTTTTCAGATCAATTTGATCTGTAGGTTTGGTGCATGAAATAGAGACTATCTATGTTTAGATGAAGTTGGGTCTCTTTATCATCTTTTGCCAATACGTATGTGTAACATTTGAATTCCAATGACTGGTTGTTTTATTTCCTTAATGCTCGTTCCTTCTGAGTGGCCAACTATTTCTTCTATCATACACACTAGGAATAATGGTATTTTTAATCAGGTGGTTGGAATTGGAGTTAAAACTGGTTGCAGATGTTGGAATAGTAGGTGCTCCAAATGCTGGGAAAAGCACACTATTGAGTGTGATAAGTGCTGCTCAGCCAGCAACAGCAAATTATCCTTTTACAACTTTGCTTCCCAATTTGGGAGTAGTTTCATCTGATTATGATTCTACTATGGTAGTAGCAGATCTGCCTGGTTTACTTGAAGGAGCACACAGGAGTTTCGGTTTAGCTCATGAGTTCCTATGGCATACCGAAAGATGTTCTGCACTGGTATAAGCTTCTTTTCACACATTGCAACTTCTATGAATTTAAAGTCCTTGAGACTTGAAGTATTACAATTTTGGTGCATTCAAATGATTAAGTTTGGCCAAAAAAAAAAATGATAATATAAATGTAATGTTATCTTCTTCAACTGATTAAGTTTCATCTCCTAAAGCTTATCTATTTGTTAATTTGAAATGAAACGTTTGTTCTTCAACATTGATGTACACCACTTGTAATGGGTATTAATTTTATTTTCTTTTATTTTATTTTTTTGTCTTATTGAGAAGAAGTTAAAGACCAAAACTAACTCTGTAGCTATAACCAAGGGGTAACCTTTTATCTTCACATCTGTTTACTGTTTTGTAGATACATGTTGTTGATGGTTCCTCTCAGCAGCCAGAAATTGAGTTTGATGCTGTACGTCTTGAGCTGGAAGTGTTTCGTCCTGAACTTGCGGAGAAGCCTTATATAGTTGCCTGTAACAAAATGGATCTTCCAGAGGCATATGAAAATTGGCCTTCATTTAAGCAAAGCCTACAAGCATGCAGAATTGAACCTTTTTTCATTAGTGCAGCAAGTGGAGAAGGCACACGCAAAGTTTCTGTGCTGCTTATGAGCTTCTTCAAAAGTGTAAAGAATCCAATATGGAGTTCGAAGGTCACATTTTTATGTGGTTTGGTTCCTTGAATTTTTCATATTGCATCCTTATTTATATATGTTTCGTTTTCTATGGTATGCAATCTTCTCATGAATCCTTTTATTGACAAGTCTGTCTACTTTAGATTTGACAGCACCAGAAGATCTGAATCATGTGGCTGATATGGTACATAAGCAGTGCAATGCCTCCATTGATGAGTTTGAGATCAGACAGTAGTTCAAATACTTGGCATGTAATTGGCGCAGGATTACAACGTTTTGTTCAGATGACAAACTGGCGGTAGGAATTTGAACTTATTCCTTTGAGTGTAGCCCTGCTAGCCTATCTGCTATCCTCTTTCACTCGCTCTCATGCATTTCTATTTTGTCCTGTTCCATGATCATCTCAAAGCACATTATGTTTTGAATTATAACTTTACAAATCTTCTAATCTGTGAATGTTGTACATTCATGAAAATGGAATCATTTTCATTTCAAAGAGAAACGAAGTTAAAAATGTATTCTTAGGAGTACTTGAGAGCAGCCATATACCAGTTTAAAGTACCACCGAACAACAATTTACATGCTTTCTTTGATATACCTTATCTTTTTGTCTTTCTGGCTTATCTTGAACGTTACCAATACTGCTTTTGATATAAATTGTGATTCTTTTGAACCAGATATATGGATTCTGAGTAAAGGTTCCAACATGTTCTCGAGGCTTGTGTTGTGAATCGTTCTCTTATGAAGCTTGGTGTTAAAGAAGGTGATACAGTAATAGTTGGAGAGGTATGTTCATACTGTTCTATAATTTGCTATATAATGTTTGTTTTTCCTTGCGATGCATTTGACATACGTATAAGCAATTTACTTAAAAGGAACAACACATGTAATATGATTACATTGATGCCCCTACCTTTAAAACCTATGTCTGTTTTTGATATATGGATTCCAATTACATTTCACTTCATTGTGTGTCCATGAGAACAACCAATCAACATGTAACACTTCACAATAAAACCAATTCTAATGATAACAAACAAACTTAAAGTTGGACGATGACTTGTGGTGCAAAGCAAGATTCAATTTGAGACCTGAGGGCATCACCAGAGCGTCTACCTTAACCACTAGGCCAAGGTTTTATTGACGGACATATTGTCTTGTTAACCATCCATCTTTTAAAACTTTGATTTGTAATGACATTAGACGGTTCAGAAAGCATCTACTCTTAAAACTGGTGTCCCATGCAACTTGGAGCCTGTATAATACCAGTTCATTTTGAAAATCCCAATAAATTGCTTTGTGTCTGCTAGATGGAGATGGTGTGACATGACTACACTGGAAATTCTGGTCAACCAAATATGAGAAGAAGATCAACAGAATCTCTCAAATGGCCTCAGTGGAAGTAATCAACATTTTTTTTTTACTCGGTACACTGCTGGTATTAGCATGCTGGCAAATTTCGAACAGAAGGTAATAGACCATAATCACACTAGTTTTAAGAGCATAAAGTTACCTTTCGGTTTGTTTTCTATGGTTCAGGAATTATCTTCATTTGCAACTTAGATGATGAAGAGTATTTAAGTTTTAGAAGCAAGCATCGTTTTAACTTTTTACTAACATTCAGCTGAAGTGCGAAATTAATAATATATATATTTAACTGATATATATCTATCTGTTAACTTCCGAACTTACAACAAAAATTACATAAAATGTTTCTAAATTCTTGTTCTTATTTGATTTTCTATGTTTTAGTATAAATTTTTTTTTCTTCAAATATATACTAATCTATTTTTACATTAATCACAAAATAAAAGAAAATTTTTTCATAGGAAACAGTTGCTAATGTGTTTTATTTTCTTCATTCTCTATTGGTAAGGTTATGTCTCATATGGATGCAGCAACAGTAATGGAGCTTCTAAGTCAAAAATTGTTGAACTGGTAGTGACACTGCTAATTGTCATGGTCAACTTATAAATCAATATAAGGGATTTGATCTAACAATCAATGTTACACTGTCAAGACATGGGCGACAAATAAGTTTCAGTTTTGTTCTATGGCATGTTCAGTAGTGAATTTGCATCTCACACTTCAAATCTACGGAATATCAGAAAAACTTGTGCCACCTAGTCTATTCTGTGTCTGTATAATCAGAAATAATGCTACATCATAGGTCAGCTTCAATTTTTGTGAAAAAAAGCAAGAAAGATACGAGAGAAAGGTGGTTTTAAAGGAAAAGGGAAATAACTATAGAGAACTGTTAGTTGATTCTCTGATTAGATTCTGCAGCCATTCATGAGACTGATGATTCAGAATTCTGTAATACATTATACCATGTAATCAGAAAAAAAAAAAAAAAAAAGGGTCTAATCTCCAGAATTCATCATACTTCTAAATCCTGTGTATGATCAAATCATCAATAATTAAAGAGTATCTGAAACAAGATCAACCTTGAAATTAATTAAACACTATGTAGAGGTGTAAAATTTCCCATCTCCTAGACTGGATGACTTAACCCCACAAGATAGCATGTCCCCTCATTGTCCCATGAGAAGATCTGCCATTATAGAGGGGGTGCTGCCCGGCTGGTTCATTGAGATTCTGAATTTTACCCTCCTATAATTTCCCTGGCTTGCGCTGGAGCTCCATTTGAAAAAAAATTTATAATAACATGGAACCCAAATTTGAGCTTTATGTTCTAAACCATGCCCGAATCCTTATTTTCTGCTGCATAACACAACATAAAAAATCTGTGATTTAAAATTGAACTTGTTTAAGTAAATGAACTGAACCCGATGCCACACTGACATTGCGGTAACCCTGAGTAGCTCGACTTGTTGACACCCTTGTTTGCATCAGAAGACGCGGTTGGAGAATTGTTAGGGGCATTATGGCAGGGCCAAGGCTTCAATGGCATGGTTGTACAAACAAATCAATGTCTCACATCATAAAAGTTAACTGACAAGATCCATGGACAGCATATACAGACAATTTTTCTAGGCTGGAAAATTGTACAGGAGTACCCTAAACCACCATGCACGTTTTTAAAAACAAAATAAAGGAAAACCCACTCGCAAACGGTATCAAAGTTGTCTATTTAAGTTTTAGTTTTAATGGCAATCTAAAGTGGTTTTGGACCACTCAATTCAACACCTCCTGGTGCTTGTGCTGCCTCTAGAGTATTGAAATGGCTTCCATACAAGGAAACGTGTGTTAGATTCTTGCAGTTAAAGAATTTGCTGGCTTGACCACTAAAGAAAGTGTTCATGACCAAGATTCTGCGGATACACGGTAAAATTGTTAGGATTGCTAGGGTTGCACCCGAGGTTACTTGATTCCAACCAAGCCAATCTTATTCAAAATAAAGCCCCACTCTTGTGATGGCCAAATAAATATGTCAGACACCACAAGAAATATAAATGGAAAGGAACACAATTTATGTGGAAAACCCTCCAATATAGAGGAAAAACTATGAGATCAAACCGGGAACAAAATTCAATATTAAAATGAATAATACAATAATGGTGTCTCAATTTTTTTCCCAGATATAAGACCCCTAGAGCAATATGGAAAAATAACAGTGACTGTCCAAGCACACAACAACTCTTACTCAGAAACCAAGTACATTGATTCTTTGTAATCAAAATATCTTAAAAAAAGCTCCAACGAGAGAGAACCCCGTAAAAATTTGCCTCTTGTTGCAGTAATACTCATTAAGACTTCTGCAAAACCAAATGAAACAAATTGTCAATTTGCATTCGCATCATTGTTAACCTTCCTATTAACTTGAAGTTAAAGATTAATCTAGGATTTGCATAATCTTTCAAGCAGAGCAACTTACTATTAAATCAGCTTGAACTTGTTCCTCATATCCACGTCTTGGTGGGTGGAATGCTTCTACATATCTGAATTTCAAAACAATCAAGTAATATTAGCTGCGCTGGGAGTGATATATGTTTCTCAAATTCAAACACTTGAACAAAATCTTCTGAATCAGATATAATTTAACTGAAGTAATAAATGGTACATAGTAATAAAAATTAATGATGAGAAACAAACAGAGATCATATACCAGAATTCGAATCTATAAAATTATGTAGTTGATGCCAAGGAATTGAAAATGCATATGCCCTTTAAATGAAGTATAACTAGTATGAACTTTGGTTTGGTTTTTACCTGCAACAGTTTTCCTTCAAAGTAACAGATGAGAGATACAAGGTATGTTCCTAATTGATTAAAATTGAGCACCCCCAAGAACGTTCTGTAGTATTCAAAATTTTTCAAGAAGCAAGTTTACTGTAAGACTAAGGCCTAACCCAATTCTCAAATAATAATTAGGATACATAATAAAAGAAAGCATACCAGAATCATCTTTTGCTTGGGGAAGCTACTTTTATTTCATTCCTCTGCTATTGCTTTATTCTTGGATGAGGGTCTGTTTGGTGTTTCAAGGCCAATGGTGTATATGTTATGTTGGAGAAATAGGGGGTTAAAAATGAGATCATTAGATCATTGGCTTCAAGGCGTGCTGCAAATGCCACTTTTCTTTAGGCTAATTTCGCCCCCACCAAATCTGGTATGTAAAGGGGATAACCCGAAATGCTCATAGGATACAATGAAGTGCCTTGTTGATCTCGCCTTTGCACTAGCAAGATCAACCACTGAACCATCATTTGGAAAGCGACAAAACAATAGTTTTTGCATAGGGATTTCTCGAGCAATCGCAATACAAAAATGGGCTATTTTATTTAGATATTTTTGGGTTCAAAAAGACTCCATCAGAGAAGAAGAGATAACTCCATATTTATAGGGCAAGATGTATGTTGGAATAGACACTTCTTTTCAAGATGTCTATTGGGAACAAACACTTCTTTTCAATTTTTATTCATTGGAAACTCTTCTAAAAGTCATTTGGTTTGATTTGAATTCCAACTCACGTGTTTCCTTGCCTTTCAAAGTTATACACTCTCTTCAGAAACTTATCTGGATTTTATCTCTTATTCTGGCGTAAATGGTTCGAATCAGATAAATGTGATTCGAACCAAAATCGTAAATTTTCGAATTCTGGTTTTATGTAAATGATTCGAACCATAATTATATGGTTCGAACCAAAATTACACTTTCTCAAATACATTCTGTGCAATTGCTTCGAACCAACTTTTTATGATTCGAACCCAAATCCTGGAAATATTTTGAAAATTCTTCAACATGGGAAAAGTAGTTCCATGTCTGCAACCAAAAATGAATTCCATTTGTGTACATATGTTTTGCAAAGAGAAAGAATTTAACTAACATGGATCTTAGTTCCAAGTGCAAAAGAGATAATAATTATGCAATTGACAAAGAAAACTTTGATTCACAAAATTAATTTAACATATGTTCTCTAAGTTGCTGGAAGTTTTAGAGTCAGTTGATTTCAACATATGCTTCAAATGAAGAATGCTAGTTTAGTGTTGCAGTCACATTTCATACATAACACCAAGGTTCTTTTATACAGCTAATAGCTTTATTCACATATAAACAAACTGCTGAAGAAAAACTATATAATAACCCATTTTGGAGCAAAATAGCAATTTAAAATGGAGAAGATAGAAAATTAAGAAGTCTTCAAGTTAAACGTTGGGAAAAAAAAAATTGAGGAGCCTCATTCAACATTTGAGTTGATATATATTATTGTATTGCTCCCTAAATTGACAAAAAGACAAAGACTTAATTGATAGAATGAGCCAACAAGGAGAAAATTAGTGTTGGGAATTTATATATTATGAAGAAGTGTAGTTGCGAGAAAAAGAGGAGTTGGGATTTCAGAAATCGGGCATACTTGTTGCCTCTCGCAAACCTCAATCTTGGGATTAGATGTGCTTGTCCTTCATGTAGATGCCTGGAATGTGAGAAATTTTGGACCATTCAGGACCGCTTTCCTTGGCGCATCTTTCCTCTAACAAGGGGCAGTCCGTAACTTCAAGATACTGCAATTTGGAGAGTCGTCGAAAGGCTTCCGCAGAAGGCAGTTGTTTCAGATTCTTGCACTTTCGAACCCATAGACATTGAAGGGAGGACAAGTTTCTCAACCACTCTGGTAAGACTTCCAATCCATCAAATCCGGATACCAACAAGTACTGTAGAGCAGTGAGGTTTTGAATTTGATGAGGCAACTGACTTAGCTTTTCCCAACCATACAATTGCAAGTTTTCAAGGGAGGTGTTGACGGAATTCAGACTCGGGAATTCCTCCAACTCTTTTGAGAAACCACCAATCCACAAGCACTTCAATTGAGTTAGACGGCCGAGAACTTCCTCTGAAATAGAGACAAGATTAGGACAATCTAGTATAGTAAGATAGTCGAGACCGGTGTAGAATGACAGCCCACTCGATAAACATCTTAATCCAGAACAAGAATCAACACACAATTCTTTTAGGGACGATAAGTTTCCTAACCATTCTGGTAATGTTTCCACATCATCAAACTTACTTATAACCAACTTCTTTAAAGCAGTAAGGTGTTGAATTTGAGATGGCAATGTAGTTAATTTTTTCCATCCATGTAATCGCAACTCCTGGAGGGAGGTCTGCAGGCAGAGAGTGGAACCAAGTCCAGGGAATTCCTCTAACTCTTCCCCAAAACCACCAATACTCAATTTTTTCAAGCTAGTAAGACAGGCGAGGGGCTTCTCTGGGATGCTTCTCAATTTTGAACAGTCTACAATTTCTAACTCAACAAGAGAATGCAATTCCTTCAATTCTTCTGGAATGGAGATCAAGTTCTGGCACCTGCTTACCATCAGATTTTTAAGAGCAATGCAGGATGATAACCCACTTGGTAGACACTCTATTTCACATTCAAACAAATATAACCTTTGAAGAGAGATAAGCCCATCTACACTTGGAATAAACCTCAGATTAGGAAGCCCAATCAGACCAATGGTCTGAAGAGATGTAAGCCCACCAATACTTGGAATAAACCCCAAATTCGGAAGCTCTCGCAGAGATAAGAGCTCAAGGCACTTGGAGGCTGCTAGTGTATCTCCAATGTTGCTAACAGAGCAATTGAAAACGGCTAGTTTCTGAAGTGATTGTAACCCACTTGTGGGAACACTTTCCAACTTCTTGCACCCTTCAATTTTCAATAGCGCCAAGTTCTTGATCAAAAACCTTTCATTACTGTAACTACAGTCACTCTTCATCATCCATGACGGTAAGTTTTTACCTCCATAACCATCAATAGTTAATCTTTGCAGATTTGAGTGTGGTCGGAGGCCTGCCAAAACATCTTCATCCTCGTTGCCTTCTTTTCCCCATATCAATGCCAAATCATCAACTGCCTTCTCATGTAATTTTGCTCTCATGGCTTCCAATTTGTCTTTAACAAGCTCAAGGTTACGGATCTCTAATCTTCCTCTCAGTTGGCTTAAACATCCCAATTCTTCAATTTTGCGCCCCTTTGTTCCACCCACAAAGAACAATGGCAATGTTCGAAGAGAAGTTAGTCGCCCAAGGTTTGCAGGCATACAATTTTCATTATTGAAGTTGACATGCCTCAAGTTGATTAAATTTCCTATTCCTTCAAGAGGCATTTTGAGAGATCTGCAATTCTGGAATCTAAATGTTTGTAAATTGTATAGATTGGTAACGAACCTGGGCAATTCTTTTATCTGAGTTCCAGAAATGTCTAAGTATCTCAAACTCTTCATATTGCCAAAACATGGTGGCAATTCTTCAGCATGAACAGCGTGAGGAAAACTAAGAACCCGTAACCATTTAAAATTCCCTAACATGCCATGGGGAAAACCATGCTCTGAAAACAAAGTGTGTAGCTGAGCAACATCTTCTAAAATTGTTGGCACCATTTGCTGATCATAGATGAGATTCAAATGTCTAAAATTAGAAATATTGTGCCTTGAAGAAAGAGTTTTCAAAATCACTATCTCAGATTTTGAAATGGACCATGCAAAATCATGAATCAAATCATGCATTTTACAATGAGTGATGCTCCCCAATAAATCTCTCTGGTCCTCTTGAAATAAAGAATAGGATAACAAGTCATTGAAATACTCGTCACCTATATCCTCCAGCATCATAGAAGTTTCTTCATGCACTTGAAGGAACCCTTCTGCCATCCATAGTTGAATTAAAGTCTCCCTTTCCATGACATAATCTTTGGGAAAAATAGAATAGAATGCAAAACATTGCTTCAAACCTGGCTTCAACAAGTTATCAAAACTCAATTGTAATATATGCATAATTCCATCATCTTGATATTCAAGTGAACCCAGTGCATCAATCTTGCTTTTGATTGGCAACCATTCAGCTAAATCTGGCCTTTTGGTACACAAAATCCCCCCTATAACACTTGCAACTAATGGCACACCTCTACATCTTCTTGCAAAATCCCATCCAATATTCTCCAATTCTGAATCCAAATGTTTAGAAGTGTCTCCAAATACTTTCAGCTTAATTATAGACCAACATTCAACATCTTTTAGTAGCTCAAGATGATGCATGTGGCCAGGACGTGTTCCCATTGTCAATGCAACATTTTTATCCCGAGTTGTTACAACAACTCTATTCCTTGATTTCTTACACATCCCCAACAAACACCTCTTCAAGTCTTCCCATTTCTGACTCTCTTTATTCCACACATCATCCAGTATGAGAAGATAGTTGTTTTCCCCAATAGCTGATCTTATCTCTTGAACCACAGTGTCTTTGTTCTTCATTGCACCAGATTTCTTGGTAAGAGACTCCAACATTTCTGCTAAAATCCTTTCTACATCAAAATTTTCAGACACACAAATCCACATTATTTTACCAAAATGGTTTTGAATTTGGTCATTACTACGCACAGATTGTGCTAGGGTGGTTTTGCCGAGACCAGGCATACCCACTATAGACAGGACACACAGGGGTAGTTCATTAGTTGGATCAGTCAACAACTGCACTATTTTTGAGACATCATCTTCTCTCCCCACAACTTGTGAGAAAGCACCAATGAAAGAGTGGGTCTGTAAATTTCTTCTTTGTTGATAATTGGTGGTAGCAAGTCTGGATTGAAGTCCAAACCCTTGGGCCTCATTGTTAATACCATCCACCATTGCAATCACTTTCTTAATCTTATGAGCCATCCTTAAGCCAAATGCCAAGGGATTGTTGGGGGTAAAAAAGTAACGCACCTTCTTCATCATCTGATTTTGAATCTTCACCCTGCGCTTTACACTTTCATAAGTAACTTCATCCAGTATGTAATCAGCTTCATGTGCCACTTCCCTGAGGTTGAGGAGCCAGTGCTTCACAGCCAGGTCTGTAACTTGCCTTTGTCCAGCATCTTGCAACACAGCCTGAATCAAGACTAGTTTCTTTTGGAGAATGATGAGTTCCTGCTTCCAGCTGACTGCAAGGTTGATTTGCTGAGCAACAGCCGAAATCAGGTTGGATATGGTGGTATCAACAACGGGAGAAAGGATGAGATCACCCATTTGTGCTTCAATAGCTTGAAGAAAACTAAGAGAAGCTAAAGGCTGAGAAGTACTCTGTTAAGCAGACGAGAAGACTGGAGGGCAATGGTGGACGTATATGATACAGAAGTCAACAAAAGTGAAATCAATACTTAGTGCTCTCCTACCGAACAAAACTTAATTTTTTTTTTTTTTTATGGTAACCTGCACTATGGTTAATTTATTTCTTGATCTTATAATAATTGCCAATTGAAATATAAAAAATTAACACAACCTACCAAAACTTTTGTCCATTTTGTTGTTGCACAAGATTACAACTTAAAATAGGTCGATGAATTAAATAGTATACGCGGTTTGCTACTCTATTACCCAATCAAAAATAGCTTCTCTAACGTCATTATCGTCTCGTTCTCTACCTTTTCCTTCTTTTTCAAAAATGGTGATCAATGAAACAATTGATTATTTATTTATTTTTTATTAATTGGGCAATTGTTAAAGGAGTTGGTGGAATGGGATATTGTTTATTGGCATGGATTGTTGTGTGGTTTCAATGTGAGACATGAATTATTGGGTCGCACAAGTGATTAGGATGAATTTAAAAAAATATACGTAATGAGTCATCAAGGACAATAACATTTCATCAAACATGATCAACAAAAGCCTTGTCTT